CTTGGTCCATGTACAGATTCCTCATGAGCACAAGTTAAGTGATCCGGAATACTCATACTTCGCAATGCTGTCCATAGCTAGTCATGATCCACAGAATTGAAAGCCTTTGCATAGTCAACAGGCAAACATCTTTCTGATATTCTCTGCTTTCAGCCAAGATCCATCAGACATCAGCAATGATAACTCTCATTCCACAGCCTCTTCTGAATCCAACTTGAACCTCTGTTAGTTCTCTGTCAATGTATGATTGTAGCCGTTTCTATATTACCTTTAGCAGAACTTTACTCGCATGGGATATCAAAGAGATTGTCCAATGATCTCCACATTCCATTGGATCACCTCTCTTTGGAATGGGAACAAATGCAGATCTCTTCCAATCAGTCGACCAGATAGTTGTCTTCCAAATTTCTTGGCAGAGATGAGTGAGTGCCTCCTGTGCTGCCTCACTTTCTTGAAAGATTTCAATTTTGATTCCATCAATTCCTGGTGCCTTGTTCTTTGCCAATTCCTTCAATGCACCTTGGACTTCCTTTCAGGATCATTGGCTCTTGATCATATGTTACCTGTTGAAACGGCTGAACATTAACCATTTCCTTTTGGTACAGTAACTCTGTGTATTCCTTCCAACTTCTCTTGATGCTTTCTTCATCATTCAATAATTTTCCCAGAGAATCTTTCAATAACAAAAGTCGAGGCTTGAATTTTTTCTTCAGTTCCCCAGCTTGAGAAATACTGAACATGTTCTTCCTTTTTGGTTTTCTGATTCCAGATCTTTGCACATTTTGTTGTAATATTTGGCTTTATCCTCTCGAGCTGATCTTTGAAATTTTCTGTTCAGCTCTTGGACCTCCTCATTTCTTCCATTTGCTTTAGCATCTCTATGCTGAAGAGCAAGTTTCAGAGTCTCTTCTGACATCCATTTTGACCTTTTCCTTCTTTCTTGTCTTCTTAATGACTTTTTGCTTTCTTCCTGTATGATGTTCTTGATGTCATCCCACAACTCTTCTGGTCTTTGGTCTTTAGTGTTTAATGTATTAAATCTGTTCTTCAGATGATCTCTAAATTTAGGTGGGATATATTCAAGGTCATATTTTGGCTCTCGTGGACTTGTTTTCATTTTCTTCAGCTTCAGTTTGAATTTGCATATGAGCAATTGATGGTTTGCAGACTGTGGAACCACCAACAATAGGATGCATTAACAATTCCATTAAGGAACAGGACATTCACATGGTCACAAACTATCTCTCCACAAGACACTCATTAATCACACCACCTCAACGTGAGCCGCAACTGTCACGGGACACACAGAGCATGTGCGACCCCACAGGCCAGGGTGGGGAGAACACAGCGTCTCTCTGGAGGCTCCTGCCCAGGGACATCGTCGAATTGGGGTAAACCCTGAACAAACCCAAATCCACATCCAACCCCTAACCGACATCTAGACCAGACCACAAAAGCCCAGGACCAAAACTATGGAAGGAGGCATGACCCCTGCATCACCTGCTGCGGGCACAGCCAGCCACGCTCCACAGAGCAGCCCTGGAGCTCCGGGATGGCACACAGATCGAACAGGACCTGACATATCCATCACACGTTCAGCCAGTCATGACGAGAACTCAATGCCAACAGTGGACCTGGTGTGATCTGGGTTTGCCTTTCTTTCTTTCTTTAGGCTTGTATATCTTCAGAAATGTCTGCAATCTGGGGCAGTACGACAGTCTGGTGTTAGCTGAGCTCTGGAAAGACAGCCCCTCATCCACTCACAGAAACAAACTGGCGAGGATCCAATGTGTTTCACTTCTGAATGGTGTCCAAAGCCCCCTCTGGCTTTTACTCTCACTGGCGAGGATTCACTGGGGAAGGTGGCCTTTTCTTCTAACAGCAGTAACGCATCCCTAAGGGTCATTTGTAAGTAACACGTGAGGCTCCTGACAGAGGAGCAGCCAGTCCCATGGCGGCGATGAGGTACCATCAGCACAGGAAGGTATCTAACCATCCGCTGTGGCAGCCAACCCCGCAGAGCGGCGGCAAGTCCACAGAACACGACTTGGGCCCACAGAGAGTCCACGTCAATGTGTCAGCATAGCATGCACCTGAGCATAGCGGCATTCACGGCACCATTCTCTTTGATCATGGACGGAACTATGTCCCCACCCAAGGGTTACAGTGCTAGCCCCCACCTCCCAGTGCCTATGGACACAAGCTTGTTAGGAAATGTTATTGGTTATCAGGCGGTCATACCAGAGAGGGGGCTGGGTGCTAATCTCATCTGGGGGAGGGGGGTCTGTGTAAAGGAGGAGATGGGGTACAGAGGCAGATGAAGGACACCATGTAAAGGTGCATGGAGAAGCGATGGACCCACCCCCACTACCTACACCCTGCATCCAGACTCCTGACCCTGGGAGACAACACAGGGCAGGTCAGCTCTGTCCAGGACACAGACACTGGGCCAGACCCATAAGACAACACCGGGACAGTTCAGCCTGGTCCTGGAACAGATACTGGGCCGGACTTATAAGCAACAAGGTCTATGAGCCGCATGCGCATCAACCCTCCACGGTGAAGACAAAAAGGGGGGAAGTGACAGAGCCCCAGAATAACAACTTCCTTGAATTAGGGACAGAAGAAAAAGGGGGGAGATGTCGTAAAGCCAGAATCTGGATACCCTACGCTATCACATCACGGCCTACAAATAAAATACCCATGGTTGTGTGCCCTGCTACAAGCACACACAGCCAGTATTCTGACATTTAAGAAAAATATGAAAAACTCAAAGTATCTCGAAAACAGAAACCAGATGTCCCAGAGCACAATACAATAAAGTTGGGATTTATAAAAGTTTGTATTGCAACTTTCTTCTCCCTAAGTGTAAGGGCAAGGACGAAATCTACTTCAGCTGCTGCTGCTGGTGGCTGCGGTCCAGTCAGTTCCGACTCAGCGACCCTGTATAGATAAGGTTTCCGGGGAGCAGGTGGAAAGCTTGAACCGCCAACCCTGCAGTTCAAACCAACTCTGCGGTCCAGCACATTAAACCCCATGGCCACACCAGGACTCCACTTATAGCTGCTGAAAAAAAATAAGGAAAACTCTTAAGAGGATATGGCCAAAACTAACCTCAGAGGTAAATGAATAACCTCAACAATTGACACAGCAAACAGGAAAAGTATTCAACTCAAGGAGCTAGAAAAAGCAAAGCAAAATAAAATCAAGGAAAACAAATCAAGCTAGAACTAGACATAAACGAGTCTACGTCTAAGACGAGACAGAGGGCAGACAGCACAGAGCGGCGGTGGAGGCCGGACCTGATGAGCGCCCTCAGGATGTCAGCCCTGCCCACACGCGAGGCGTGGTACACGGGGCTGCTGCGATGGTGCCGGCTGCCGTTGGGGTCTGCGCCTGCTTCCAGGAGGATCTGGGCGCTCTCTAGGTGGCCGTTCACCACGGCTACATACAGGGCGGTCTGCCCCTTGACATCCACCAGGTCGACCTCTGCCCCTTTCCGGATGAGGAAGTCCACACAGTCCCCGTGGCCGGCGGTTGCCGCGATCCGCAGTGGCGTGCAGGGGAGCCAGCCACAGCACCACACAGACTTCTCATTGATGCGGCTGCAGAAAGAACAGAGGCATGAGGGTGGCCCCGAGCACAAGAGGCACACAACACAGCAGGCTCCCCTCACAGAGCATGCGCTCGGTGGTGTCCCCTCTACAGGCGAAGACTGGCCACACATACTGAGCCCAGAGACCGCAGCAGGCCTGACCCGGGCCAAGAAATCCCTCAGCACCTTGGGGTCCCCTTCCTGACCCACGGCATCAGCAGAAGGAGACCATTCAGACTGGGCTCCCAGCCAGGGGCTGAGGACCACCACCGCCCTGTACTTGCTGAGCCTCCACATCACCGAGAGATGGAGGCACGTGCAGATCAAGACAGGGTTCAGGCTCCCTCAACAGCCCAGGGAACATCGCCTCAAACAAGCCTGGAGGGTCCCCTTCAACTGGGCACCAGCTTCAACTGGCCTGGAAGGCTCAGGAATGTCCCAGAATGATCACCAAAGAGAGAGGAACCAAGCTAGTTAGTCAGAGTCCAAGCTGAGTAACAGTAAGGCCATCCGTGTGTCAGAGGAGAACTGTGCTCACAGGGTTCTCAGTGGATGATGTTTCATAAGCAGATCCCACTCATGGTGTCCCTGTGTGTGTCAGAGTAGAACTGTGCCCACA